CTACCCTGACCCTATTAGACAGTCCCCTCACTACTGTAACAATGCAGCAGCAGCAGCAACAGCAGCAGTGTTAGTATTCTACATGCTTAGAGGTAGGTACCTCCTCACTACCCTGGCTCTATCAGACAGTCCCCTCACTACTGTAACAATACAGCAGCAGCAACAGCAGCAGTGTTAGTATTCTACATGCTTAGAGGTAGGTACCTCCTCACTACCCTGGCTCTATCAGACAGTCCCCTCACTACTGTAACAATACAGCAGCAGCAGCAGCAGCAGTATTAGTATTCTACATGCTTAGAGGTAGGTACCTCCTCACTACCCTGACCCTATCTGACAGTCCCCTCACTACTGTAACAATACAGCAGCAGCAGCAGCAGTGTTAATATTCTACATACTTAGAGGTAGGTACCTCCTCACTACCCTGACCCTATCAAACAGTCCCCTCACTACTGTAACAATACAGCAGCAGCAGCAGCAGCAGCAGTATCAGTATTCTACATGCTTAGAGGTAGGTACCTCCTCACTACCCTGACCCTATCAGACAGTCCCCTCTCTACTGTAACAATACGGCAGCAACAGCAGTACTGCATGGCTACATTTCTGCTTCCTGCACCCACTGGACACCATTCTACAAAAGAGGACACCCAACTCTGCACTCGGTCATGATAAAAGTGCGTACGCAAAAGTCACGGAGTTACATTATCACAGATATCATTACGTTTCAGTTTATTAAAAACAGACGGTGTTAACCTAAACAGCGCACATACGAATCCCATCGCTGACTTCCACTAATAGTCTATAGTCTATAGTCAACGTCAAGTCTATAGTCAACGTTTACTGCACCGCTACCAGGGGGTGCGACCGGCAAAGTGAACAGCGCGCCGCTGGTAGGCTGTTGAGTCCGCTGGCGTCACCCGCTCACCTGTTTCGCGAGACGTTGACGACGGTGAAGTTGACATGCTCCGTGTCAGCCGCCGCCGTCCGCTCGTCCCCCGCCGCCGCCTCCGTCAGCTCCTGAAACACAAACACGGCGCCCCCTGGTGTCAACACGCCGCGGAATTTCACGTGCGGACGTGTGCACTGCTTGTGCATCGAGAAAAGCCAAACCACATGCTGATACTGACATGCTGATAATTGGCTTTAGAGGAAAGGTATCACTAGCTATACTAATATATTCAATTCAACAATGTCAATTAATATAAATAATCTATAAAGAACAATAAAGAACGAATAATAGTAATTGAAAAAAACAAAAATCAATCATAATAAATCAAAAATCATAATGAATAATCAATTATCAATAATTAAAATCCACAGTCAACAGTCAATAATGAATAATAATCCATCAATAACGGACACTAATCAATCAATAACCAATGACTACTAATCGATCAATAATCAATTATAAATGATAATCAATCAATAATCGGTGATCGCTCACCTGCAGTGCGCGTGTGATATCGTTCGTCTCTAGGCGATGCATCATGGTACAGATCGCCTTGACAGCCTGCTTCAGACCGGTAGTGTTAATCCTATCCGAACCACCCTGCAAGCACCACGCGAGAGAGACCGTCTCACCACCACATCACGGTCGTTCGACCACCACGGGCCATCCGTCGCCGGGGAAGCTGTTTTTTTTATCAGACGTTCAGTGCATTGCGAGTTATTTTTCTGCTCGGTTTCTTGGGCCTTTTAGCAATTCCCGAAGCTTAAACGACCCCCCATCTTCCTTTCTCTTGTATGTAAATCGTACTTTTGAAGATCTGAGCCTGTAGCTTTCTCTCTCTCCCTCCTCCTATCTCCCCCGATCCTATGCCTTCTTCTCCCTTCCTCCAAACCTCAAAGATCTAAACCTGTATCTCTTCCACCTTCCTCCCCCCTCCCCTTCTCCCTTCCTCCATACCTCAAAGATCTAAACCTGTATCTCTTCCACCTTCCTCTCCCCTCCCCTTCTCCCTTCCTCCATACCTCAAAGATCTAAACCTGTATCTCTTCCACCTTCCTCTCCCCTCCCCTTCTCCCTTCCTCCATACCTCAAAGATC